CCCGCAGAGCAGGGAGCCCGATGTGGGGCTCGATCCCAGGACCCTGGGATCATGACCTGAGCCGAAGGCAGATGCTTAACGACTGAGCCACCCAGCACCCCCCTTTGGATATATCTTGCCAACAAATGCACAAAATAAATGGACATAAAGCACAGATGCTCACAGACACAGTTCAAAGCTATGGTAGCTTGATGCTGAGATGCTGAGTGTCATGTCCGGGGAAGGAGCATGGCGGTGCCACTCTTGCTCTTCAGGGTGTGTGCTGCCTGTATATCTGGGAACTACAAAGGAAATGTTGAATGTTATTTTTACTTTTTGCCTTTTTTTAATAAAAGTGAAACTCTTTAGATTTCTTTCAGTTAGTGAAAGCAAGTATTAATGTAGGTCTTGTATAAAAGCAAAGTGGCATAATGCAAGCTTTCTAAAAGTGGGGATACTTATGTTTTTTTTCTTTTTTCTTTTATTGTAAATGAAATTGTTGATTTCCTTCTTGAATTGTTCATTATTAGTGTATAGAGATACAAATGATTTTTGCATGTTGATTTTGTATCCTGCAACTTTGCTGAATTTATTAGTTCAACCATTTATGTGTGTTTGTGTGTATGTGTGTGTGTGTGTGTCATATTCAGGTTTTCTGAACAAAAGATCATATCTGTAAACAGCGACAAGTTTACTTTTTCCTTTCAAATTTGGACTCATTTTTTTCTCTTTTTCTTATTTTCTGGCTCAGACTTCCAGTACTTTGTTGAATTGAATTGGCAAAAGTGAGCATCCTTATCTTGCTCCTGATGTAAGAGGAAAAACTTTCAGTCTTTCACCATTGAATATGATTTTAGCTGTGGTGTTTCCATATATGGCCTTTATTATGTTGAGAGAGCTTTCTTGTATTGCTAGTTCGTTGAGTGTTCCTAGTGTGAAAGGGTGTTGAATTTTGCCCAATTATTTTTCTTTATCAGTTGAGATGATCATGTGGTTTTTTTCCTGTCATTCCATTAGTGTAGTCCATTATGTTGATTGATTTTCTTATATTGAACCATCCTTGCATTCCAGGCTGATTGCTTTTTTTTTTTTTTCTTTCTTTTTTTTGGGGGGCGCTTAATTAGTCTTTACTTTTTTTTCTTTGACAGCTAGAAAAAGTCCTACAGCAAGGTGACATCGGAGAGTGTGCAGAACCATACATGATTTTCAAAGAAGCAGATGCCACAAAGGTAGAATATCATGCATCTCATTTTCCCCACCTTTATAGACATATAGTCCCTCCCCATTTCCCCCAGATCTCTGAGTCCAACCCTAAACACCCTTAGATTTCCTAAGTTATTGTTTGGGAGAATACTATACACAGCATATTAAGGAATTTTACTACTAATTCATTATTTTCTATTGGCCTACCCACTTTATTAGTTTCTTCTTTATTTCCTTTGTTATCTAGCTTGTGTCATATGCTGTTATTCTTTTTTTTTTTTTTTTTTTTCCTTAGAGGGGGGTTGGCTAGGAGCAGATGGAGTGAGAGAATCTTAAGCAGGCTTTTCTCTTTTTCTTCCTTATTTTTTCCATAATGCTTACTACGGAGCCCAGTGTGGGGCTCAGTCTCACAACCCTGAGATCATGACCTGAGCTGAAATCCAGAGTCAGACACTTAACCGACTGAGCCACCCAGGTGCCCCTGTGATGTTTTAGTCTTTAAAATCTCCCTCACCCCCAAACTAATTGACTCTACATTTTTTTTTTTCTTGGAGAGAACTAAGTTAATATAGTTTAATTCCTAAATAATTAAAATTTTCAAAAATAATGATATTTTTATAAAATAGTGATATTGATAATAAAACCTTTCATAGCAAAATAGTATTCTGGAGCTCTGTCTAGTTGCGGATAATTAAGGAATATGATAAAAATAGAAAATGCAATCTTTGTTTTGCCATCAGACCACTATGTTGTAGAATTTGGATCAATTTATAAAGCAAGAGTAATTTATATAAAGTTGGTACCAAATTTCAGATACCCTGAGTTAGCTACAAGAATAACAGATGAGGGACACCTGAGTGGCTCAGTCATTTAAGCGTCTGCCTTCTGCTCAGGTCATAATCCTGGAGTCCTGGGATGGAGGACCACATTGGGGTCCTTGCTCAATGGGGAGCCTGCCGCTTCCTTTCTCTGCTCATGTTCTCTCTCTCTGTCTCTCTCCAATAAATAAATAAAATCTTTTAAATAATAAAAAAAATAATAACATATGATCTTAGATCTTTGACCACATGATTTAATAGTTGAAATAGCCAGGATAGTATGCTTGAAGAATACTGGACAAGTTACCAAAATCTAGAATATGTTTTGCTTTCTGTCTTTGTGAAATTTATAACAAGAACTGAGACTTTTCTGCTGATTGAGGTTGACCTGGGTACCTGATAATGTTCTCTTATCCCTGGCTAGCTGGTTGAAATCAGGGTTAATGTATTCTGGCTTTCCCCAGGTTGTCATTTTTTAAATTAAATTTGCTGTTTTATGGAGCTCATAGTTATATTAGCAGCCTATTACATATGTGTATAAGTTGATAGAATCAAGTACACTGGATATCTAGTCTCTTAAAGCAAGATTCTATTTTGGAAGTATAATAGATAGCAATAAACAGTGCTACCATTTAGTTATCCTTCCCCCTTTTCCCAGACCTGAGTCTCAAGGTAGGACAGTCATTAGAGAATACATCCTATATGGAAAGAGTACGTAGGAGATTTGATGTAGGTTTTTACTCTTGGACCATTGGTTGGCTATCACAGGCCACCTTAGTGTTTGTGTCAGGGACAGCCTGAAAGTTGGGCCAGCTTCAGGATATCTTCCCGAGAGGCACATACTGTTTGGACCATCAGTCTGTTTCTAGGATTTAGTCCCTTTGTAATAATTTTTTCTTTGCTTCTTTTATTACAGTTCTGGGCTTATATGTTATTAGCGTACTTATGGCCCCCCACTCCCACCTTACCTTACTCCTTTTCTTGCCATAAATTAAGGATTAGTTCCAAATGGCTCAACTGCTTCCATCTTTTTCAGTATAATAAAATTTAGTAAGTCATTACCTTGAGTATTTAATAGTTAGCAGTTACTGACTAGAATATGGTTATGTTTCTTTTCATAAAATAGTACTTGTAATACATAAACATGTTTGGCACTTGCTCTCCTTTCTTTCCTATCAAGGTGAGAAAATCACAAAGAGAAATTTGAAAGACTTACTCTATACATACATTTATAGAATGGGTTGAAATTATTCAGTGCTTAAGATAAATAGTGTTAGTTGATCTCTGAAAGGTATAGATTATTTTTCCATCTTTTTTTTAAAAGATTTTATTTATTTGAGAGAGAGAGTGAGCGAGAGAGAGCACTTGAGCAGGGGCAGAGGGGAGAGAGAGAAGCAGGCTCCCCGCTGAGCAGGGAGCCTGCCCGGGGCTAGATCCCAGGACCCTGGCGTCATGACCTGAAGGCAGACTCTTTTTTTTTTTTTTTAAGATTTTATTTACTTATTTGAGAGAGAGAGAATGAGAGAGCACGAGATGGGGGAGGATCAGAGGGAGAAGCAGACTCCTCACTGAGCAGGGAGCTCAATGTGGGACTTGATCCTGGTACTCCAGGATCATGACCTGAGCCAAAGGCAGTTGCTTAACCAGCTGAGCCACGCAGGTGCCCCTATTTTTCCATCTTTGTTGAGAATTGAGAATTCTTACCCTGTCTTTTTATGTATTATGAAGTAGTCTTTAATTCATTTCTTTTGAGCATAATTATATAATGTATAAAGTTTTGTTTTGCAGAATAAGGAAAAATTGGAGAAGCTGAAAAGTCAAGCCGATCAGTTTTGTCAAAGACTTGGGAAATATCGTATGCCTTTTGCTTGGACTGCAATCCATTTAATGAATATTGTTAGCAGTGCGGGGAGTTTGGAAAGAGATTCTACAGAGGTGGAAATAAGCACTGGCGGTAAGAGTGTTTTATATAAAATATTTCTAAATATATAATTTTTTTCTTTTTTCTATATAGGCTTGTTTTATTTGTAGACTTTGCAGTGTTCTGAGGCATAAAGGGTTTTCTGTTTTTGCTTTTTTTCCCCCACAGCTTTATTGAGATGTAATTTATATACTATACAATTCACCCATTTAAAGTGTATAATTCGTTGTTTTTTTGGTATATTCACAAGGTTCTGCAACCATCACCACAATCTAATTTTGGTAAAAGGCGAAAGATTTATGCGATCTGAAGAGAAACCAGAGTGTTCCCACAATCTAATTTTGGAACACTCAGCAGTAATTCCATTCTCTCCTAATCCCGAAACCCAACCCTAAATAACTTCATAACTCCTTAGTCTGTATGGATTTGCCTATGCTGGACATTTCATATCAATACAATTATACAATGTGTAGTCTTTGTGTGACTAGTTTCTTTCACATAGCATAATGTTTTAAAAGTTCACGTTGTAGCATGTATCAGTATTTAATTTTTCTTTTTTTTTAGTATTTAATTTCTTTTTATTGCCAAATAATAGTACATCATGTGGATATGCCACATTTTATTAATCCATTCATCAGTTGATGCACATTTGGGTTGTTTATACTTTTTGTTTAATATGAATAATGCTGCAGTTAAGGTTCATGTACCAGCTTTTGTGTGGACATATGTTTTCATTTCTTTATATACTAGAAATTGTTGGATCATAGGACAATTCTGTATTTCACCTTTTGATGAACTGCCAAGCTGTTTTCCAATGTTGCTGCACCATTAAAAATTCTATTAATAGTGTGTGAAGGCTCCAATTTCTCCATATCTTTGACAACACTTTTATTATCTGGCCCTTTGATTACAGCCATTCTAGTGCACGTAAAGAGGTTTGTCATTGTGGTTTAGATTTGCCTTTCCTTGATAGTTAATGATCTTGAGTATTATTTTTTGCACTGGCTATTTGTTTATTTTCTTTGGAGAAAGATGTAGTCATATCTAACTTCGCCCATTTTTAAAATACCTGTTTTGTCTTGTTACCTAGTGGATGCTCATTTTTTATGTGGCTTTTTTATATTATTATCATCAAGTTGTAAGAGTTCTCTATGTATTCTGGATACAAATCTTTTATCTAAGGACTTGGAAATATTTTCTCCCGGTCTGTGGGTTGGTGTTTTTTTTTTTTTTTTTTTTTTGATGGTGTCTGCAGCACAGATATTTTTTGACAAAGTTCCATTTTTCTGTTCTTTTGTTGCTTGTGCTTTTGGAGTTATATCTAAGAAAGCATTACCTTACCCACGATCAGGAAGATCTGCCTGTGTGTTTTGTCTAAGAGTTTTATAGGTGTAGCTCTTACATTTGGGTATAATCCATTTCAAGTTACTTTTTGTACATGGTGAGAGGTAGAGGTCCAACATTATTCTTTTTACATAGATGCTGAGTTGTCCCAACGCCCATTTGCTAAAAGACTGTTCTTTCTCCAGCAAATGGTCTTGCCATTCTTATTGAAAATCAGTTCATGATAGATATATCGGTTTAATTCTGGACTCTCAATTCTGTTCCATTGATTTATATTTCTAAGCTTATGGTAATACTATTCTGTCTTGATTATTTTAGCTTTGCAATAATTTTTGAAAGTGGGGAGAGTGGTCCTCCAACTTTATTATCTTTTTTAAAGATTTTGTGTGGGTGTGCCTATTTTGGACCCTTGTAGTTTCATATGAAGTTTAGGATCAGCTGTCAGTTTCTGCACAAAGACAACTGGAATTTTGATAGGCATTACATTGAGTCTGTAAATTAATTTGGGGAGTATTGCCCTCTTAACAATATTAAGTCTTCCAATCCATGAAATGTTTTTCCATTTATTTAGATCTTAACATTTTTCCAACATTTTATAATTTTCAATGTACAGGTCTTATTCTCTTTCTGTTAAATGTATACCCAAATATTTTACTGTTTTTATGCTATTTTAAATGGAATTGTTTTCTTTTTTTTTTTTTTAAGATTTTATTTATTTATTTGACAGAGAGAGACACAGAGAGAAAGGGAGCACAAGCAGGGGGAGTGGGAGAGGGAGAAGCAGGTTTCCCACAGAGCAGGGAGCGGGATGCAGGGCTCGATTCCAGGACCCTGGGATCATGACCTGAGCCGAAGGCAGATGCTTAACGACTGAGCCACCCAGGGTCCCCTGGAATTGTTTTCCTAATTTCATTTTTAGAATGTTCATTTCTTGTGTATAGAATATTGACTTGAATATTGAGCTTGTACTATGAAACCATTTTGAAAATGTTTATTAATTACAGTGTTATTTTTTTCTTTTCTGGATTCTTTAGGATTTTCTCTATACAAGATCATGTCATCTGCAAATAACAAAAAGTTTACTGTTTCCTTTTCAATCTGGATGTCTTTTATTTCTTTTTTCTTTTCTAATGATCTCATAACTAGAACCTTCTATATAATATTAAAGTGGGAAGAGTAGATATCCTCTTCTTGTTCTTGACCTGGGGGAGAATGCATTTAGTCTTTTATCATCAAGTATGATGTTTGCTGTAGGTTTTTTATAGACATAATTTAGTAGATTGATGAAATTCCCTTCTGTGCCTAACTTTTTGAGTGTTTTTATCATGAAAGGATGTTGGATTTTGTCAAATGCTTTTTCTGCCTTTGAGTTGACTTGTATGGTTTTTGTCTTATATTCTTTTAGTAGGGTGTATTGCATTAATTGATTGCATTTTGGATGTTAAACTAATCTTACATTTTTGGGAGAAATCCCACTTGGTCATGGTACATAAGTTTTTTGTAGTTGTTAGAATATGTTTCTCAGTATTTTGTTCAAAATTTTTCTTCTATATTCATAAGGGATATTGGTCTGCAGTTTTTCTTTATTTGACATCTCTGTCTGGTTTTGATATCAAAGTAACACCGGCCTCACAGAATGAATTGTGAATTATTGCTTTGTTTTTTGGAGGGTTTTATGAAGGATTGGTATTTGGTTTTTGAAAAATTGGAAGAATTCACTAGTGAAGCCATCTTGGCTTTTTTTGTGGTAAGTTTTATTTAACTAAGTAGGTCTTTTCACTTACTTTAGATCTTTTTATATTTTCTTTTTTCTTTTTCTTTTTTTTTTTTTAAAGATTTTATTTATTT